ATATATAATTAACAATTTTGATTACAATAGTAAAATCTAATACAAACTAAATTTAAAGAGAAGAGAATAGAAAGAGTAAAAAGTGCAAGGAAAAAGGAAAAAAAAGAGAAGAAAGAAAAAAGTAAGAATGTAATAAAAAAGAAAAGAAATATGTAAAGAAGTGACTTCCAACCTTCGTCACAAGTATAAAAAATTTAATGATTCTTCACCCTCTCTAAGGTTACAATTGTCTCTTCATCCCAAATCTATATCTTATCTAACTTATCTTTATATCCCTTATCTATATCTTATCATATACCTTCTGTGTGAATTGCCCAGAGTCCCCCGTTGGGGGGAGATGGGCAGGGGAGAAATTTAATAAATAAATAAGTAAGTAAGTAAGTAAGTAAGTAAATAAATAAATAAAGCCTTATCTATAGGCAAATCCATAAACATCAACTTTTCAGTCCTGGTGTCAGCAGAAAGTCCATAAAGGGTTGCCAGAAGTAACAACATAACTTGTTTTAATCATGATCAGATAAACCAACTTTAGATTCCTTCCTTTTACTTCTAATAGTTTTAATTTTTAGTTTGTTCAAATATTGTCATAGGATTTGATTTCTTCTTTATCCCATCACACAGAGTTCTTCAGGTCTTTAACAAGCCTCTTTTATCAAATATAATAAGAAAAAAAATATCCAGGTCACTTTCTTGGTTTATCATTTGTATTTCTCTTTTGATTTTTTAAATATCAGCCAGCTTCTTTTGTATATCCAGTATATCCAATGAGACATCCTTTTCCAAGTCATTATTTTAGCCTATCATTTGTAAATCTACTTTCAGTCCTATCTCTATCTTGTCAGATAAAATGTGTTCCACATCTGTCATTTCTTCAATAACGCCTTTTGGACATAGTCTATCCATAGAGGCAGACATCATGACTGACACTGTTGCTATTGTGGCTACTAATTTCTGGCTCCATTCTTCAAAAGTCTCATTTAGTATTTTCAATGTTATACTATTTTGCCTCATTTTACAGTATATGTCCCAATTAATCAACACAAAAGGCTTGTGTTTTTTCCTCTGCCTAAAATTTTAATCCCTTCTAATGTCCAGTTTTTAAAATCATAAAATTACTTATCTTTGTTATGTCTTGCAAAAATCAAAACAGATCTATTTCCCATGAGAACCTGTTTGTTCTTTATAATTAATTCCAAAATCTCATTGTAAAAGTTTCTGTATTCCAAATTTATCTCGACCCTTAGTCCGTTTATAACTTTCTAAGATCAAAATCTTATGTAGCGTTTGCTGTTTATTTCAAACTCTTTAATTTTTTTAGTTTATGATTAAAATTTTCTTTCATTCAGGACTGAAGGCAAACTCATTTGGCATTTTCAGACTTGTAGTTCTGAAGGTCTCTAATAGCTTAAAAGTAGTTAATAAGCAATTTCTGAAAGTGGTTAGAAAGTGAGGTTAGCAAACTTAGTGTCCTTTAAAAGGTGCTGACAATGGTTGTGAGCAAGATGGCTATTCCCGTCATCTCCCAGTGTTCACACCCATGGGGGACTGCTGTCCTGTGGTCTCCTCGCAAGGAGCAGCCGTTTGGAGCACATGTGGTCCCATCTTCTCCTTGTCCAGAGAGTTTCTGAAGAGCTGGTCTGCTCACCATTTCTTCATTCTTCACTGTGATTGTCAGCTCTGCTTTCATGGAGATGTCTTCAGTCTATCTTTCCTCCCCTGGAAGCCATCTCTTTAATCTACTTTTTTACATCTATGTTGATATCTAGACTATCATTTTCTTTCCACCTGTGTAGAATTGTTCTCTTAGTCAATCCTCAGGTTTGATAGAGCAGATTATTTATAAAATGTCAAATATATATTTTTGGAGTGTAGCTCAGCATCACATTTTCTCCTAAGTTGTGTTAACATACATAATGACTAAAGGAACCAGAAAAGAACACTACCAAACCATGACTCAGAGCCCTCAATTTTTTTTAATAATGTGAACACACACATACACAAACCTAGTAGTTCAGTAAACATGAAGCAAAATTTTCTGATGAATTATCTTCATCCCTACATCTTAAGAAACATATTTAACATTTTTTAAACTTGAACCCACTGATCTTCCAAGATTGGATTTTCTAATTCCTTATATCTACAAAAATATATATTGCTTCATACCACCTCCTGGTTCCTTAGTATTCCCTTTGCTTGCTGAGGGATGACACCATGGTGTTGTAGCACCCTTTTACTTATTTGTTTAAAGTGAGCAGAGATTTATTTTTAACTCCTATCAAAAACTCTATAGCCTGAGGCCAGGATAATGATGGTGATGGAACAATTTCTAGCTGCTTATTTCTATGTTCCTCTACTGTTTTGGCCAGCTCTTGGTTCAAGAACAGTGGTAAATGAGGACAATTGATGTGCACTGATTATTGTTTTATGAGTCTGGAGAGTCAAAATGGTGCCTATGTGGAAGTCTCATAAATAATAGAGACTCTTTTAGCAAACTATGTGGCATACCTATGAAGAAATGAAATGCCTTCACTTAATGCCTCCTGTTTTAACAAACATTACTATGAATGTTTAGATCATGGCAGAGATAGAAAAAGAGCAAAAGAGAAGACTTACTGTTTTCTTAATACACATATAAAGTTAAACATTGTATTTTGTATTAGTAAATTTAGCAGGATTCTATTTTTTCAGGATCAAGCTATGGATCTGACTGTGAAAATTGAAGAAAGGTGTGTACACCAGAAAATAATTATCTGTGAAAATCAAGATTCAGCACCACTATTATACATGAGATCAAGTACAAATTAAAATGTCTGTGTTGAAGAGAGGGATACCAGGGCTGTAAGCTAGAGTGGGAAATCGAAAAAATATCCCAGAAGAAGGCTGTGGCAAAACATTTCTAACAAAGCCACATGGATGTGTCCATGAAGACACCAGGAGTGAGTTTGACCTGAAGGAGACTTTACATTACCTTAACTTACATTGTGTCTAAACAACGGGAAAAATTGGCTTTCAATATTATGGATTTAAGGACAAATATGCTTCTGACGCTTAAAACAAAGAATAAAGAAATGCACTTGATTTTTTGCTACAGACTGAAATCAATTAAATAGAAGGGCAAAATCTGGATATTTTTATTCTTTTTCTTCCTTCTTCCTAGGAACCACCCCATTGATATGGATGTACGTCTTGGCTTTAAACTTTCTAAGGGAGAGCGAGACTTTTTGGCAAGGAGGAAGAACATTATTTCTCGTGCTTTAAAGAAGGTACTAAAGCTGAATGTGGCACCCTGGAAAGAAGAGGTACAGAACTCCTTCTTATCAATATATTTACTTAGTTTTCTCCCTGAGTTGCAGCTTCTTTTCTGGGGCCAATGAAGCTTTCCTTTTCTCTTCTTTAGGGTTACCGCTTAATCTTGAGGAACTGAGGGCATGGTCAATTTTGAAAAAACAAAGTTGATCCTTTTCCTTGATTAGCTGGAGTCGACACCCTCAGGCAGTGTTTTTCAACCTTGGCAACTTTAAGATGTGTGGACTTTAAGACAGCATGCTGGCTGGGGAATTCTGGGAGTTGAAGTCCACAAAGTTGCCAAGGCTGAAAAACACTGCCCTCAGGGATAGATAGTAAGGTATGGAGTAATGGGAGCACAAAAAGTAAAGGCAGAGAAACTGAACTCCCTCCTTGACCAGTTAAATCAGCTGAGCCTAAGAAATACTAGCTAAATTCACAGATATTTTAACAATGCAAAATTCATTTTGAGGGGAGAAAATGCCATGGAGCAAATGCTTTCTTCTTGTTCTCATTTCATTGTTCCTGCTTTCTCTGTAGGATAACATTAGAAAAGATACATACATGAATCGACTAAAGAAAAAAAAAGAGAAAAGATCAGTTCTACCTGTCTTAGGAGTATCATCTCTCTTGTTTCTCTAGCTCCCTATAGTGGCTGTGTTAGCTTCTGGAGGAGGGATGAGAGCAATGACCAGTTGCTATGGCAACCTGTCTGGGCTACAACAGCTTGGCCTCTTAGATATCCTCACATATTTTGGTGGCATCTCAGGGTCTACGTGGTATGTAATCAGAAACCCTTGTCCCTCTCAACCTGGATTAAATGTCTGTTTAGATAAAATTTGCTGTCATAGTTTATTATTGACATCATCATAGTTACAATAAGGAAAGGTGACCTTGATTCCTCTTGCTTGCTTAGTAATTGGCTTAGCTGTTACGACATAGCCTGTTAGACATGGTGAGGCCCTAAGCTACCGGAAACCACAGAGACTGCATTTGGCAAGTGCTAACAGAGAATAAGGCTGTGTAACAACTGAACTTGGCAGGAATGCTGCCAGGATGCATAACAGGCCCATGATGGGGTGGGGAAGGGCCCTCTTTGAACAGAAGGTATAAATGCATGCAGAAACAAATCCTATCTTAATCAGTTAATGAGATTCAGTTGAGCCATGCAGGAGGGCTTAATTTATGAAGACTTTTATATATGAAATTATAATAAAACTGTAACAAATGGGAAAAAATCTGAAATTCTGGGAGGCCTCTTTAGACTGTGAGGTCCTAAAGCAGTGTTTCTCAACCTTGGCATCTTTAAGATGTATGGGCTTCAACTCGCAGAATTCCCCAGGCAGCATGCTTAGCTTATGCCTAAATCTGCCTGTCTTTGAGGTACATGGCAGACAGGGCAGTAAGTGCCATTTAACTCATTGCTCCAATTGTACATCAGATATAACTTCACCAGTATTAAAGATTAAAGGATTAAAGACCTGGCTCTGCCAGCTTGCATGGGGTGATAACAACCTTACCCAATCCTGGGGGTGGCTAGTGCCTTGATGATGCTCCCTGAGTGACTGCTAATTATTCTTGGATCTATTTATTTTCTATTTATTAATACTAGATCAAGATTAAAGGATTAAAGACCTGGCTCTGCCAGCTTGCATGGGGTGATAACAACCTTACCCAATCCTGGGGGTGGCTAGTGCCTTGATGATGCTCCCTGAGTGACTGCTAATTATTCTTGGATCTATTTATTTTCTATTTATTAATACTAGATCATAATTTTGTAATTTTAATTGATTTTAACTGTTTTGTAAACTGCCCAGAGTCGTTCAACAAGATGGGTGGTGACAAATTTGATATATAAATAAAATAATTAAAATATAGTGTACATGACAGTCAGTCAAGCCATAGTAGTCCAACTGGAACATGAAGTTGGCATTCTACAATAGAGCACTAGAGCTTGACCATGTGATAAGCTTCACTTATGGTTTGCATAGTACTGGATGAAGGAGGTTAAAATATAAAGTTATATGGAAGAAACAGAATTACCATATTTATCGGCATATAACACACATTGGGGTATAACACGCACCTTAATTTTAAGAAGGAAGTTTGAGTAAAAAAACTTAAATTTAAAATAAATGACTTGGAAGCAAAATAAAGGGAGCTCTGAACTTTTTGTTTATGAATGGGGTATAACACGCACCTTAATTTTAAGAAGGAAGTTTGAGTAAAAAAACTTAAATTTAAAATAAATGACTTGGAAGCAAAATAAAGGGAGCTCTGAACTTTTTGTTTATGAATATTTATACCACTTATAAGGTAAATACGTAATATGAAAGAAAAAGCACCTCTTTTGTATGTTGTAGGCTGGCTGTGTGTAGTGGGTGTGTACCATTAGTGTTTGTTAGGCGTGTGTAGTGTGTGGTAATGGTAATCTGTTTATTACCATACTGGGACTTATGCCCTCCCTT